TGGGCTCCCTCCAGTTTATCTTTCCTAAAATGTGATGCCCAACTGAGGCCCCACCACTGCTGAGTAGAGCAGGACACCTTCAGTCTTACTTACGACACTCCTGTTAATATATCCCAGCATGATATTAGCCTTTTTCACAACTTCACATTGTAGACTCATAATTTGTGATCCATTGTAACCCCTAGATCCTTTTCAGCAATACTACCATCTAGCCAGTTATTCCCCATTTTGTAGTTGTGCATTTGATTTTTCCTTCCTAAGTGGAGGTTTTTGCACTTATCTTTACTGAATTTCATCTTGTTGATTTCAGACCAATTCTTTAATGTGTCATGGTTATTTTGATTGTAATCCTGTCCTCCAAAGTGCTTGCAGCGCCTCCCATCTTGGTGTCATCTGCAGATTTTATAAGCATCCTCTCCACTCTGTTATTCAAGTCAGTAATGAAAATACTGAATAGTACCAGACTCAGGCCAGACCTTTCAAGGACCCATTAGATACAACTTCCCAGTTTGACAGCAAGCCCTTGATAACTACTCTTTGAGTACGGCCTTTCAACCAGTTGTGCACCCACCTTATAGTAATTTCCTTTAGACCATATTTCCCTAGGTTGCTTCTGAGAACGCCATGTGGGACTGTGTCAGAAGCCTTACTAAAATCATGCTATATTACAGCTACTGCTTCCGCCCTCTTCCCTAGTCCAGTAACCCTGTCAGAGAAGGAAATTAGGTTGCTTTGTTTCTGTATATACTTAAGCAGCATGATGTAGAATCTAGCAAATGAAGGTAGTGATTAACTCCCTCCCCCACCTCTTCCGTGCCCTTTCGTCCCATGCAGGGGAGATAATGTGATTAATGTGAGAATCTGCAGGTTAATCTCTGCCTCCCCCACATTAGTAAGAACACTCTGCTACCAAAAATAACTGACTGATACCCTTTGCAGGACTGCCCCCATGCCATCTCCGGCTCTCTTCAGTGAGACCTGGGCCATGGGTGCCCTCCTGTGCTGTGGACAAGAACTCCCAACTGCATGCACCAGGTCTCAGTGTAGTAATTGATAAGCTGTTGATGCCCACGTGAACTTTTTTTAGCTAATTAAGGGCTGGTCTACACCCAGCCGCTAGTTCGGCGGCTGGGGATCAAAGTTCCGGGTTCGACTTATCGCGTCTGGTCTGGACGCGATAAGTCGAACCAGGAAGTGCTCGCCGTCGACTGCGGTACTCCAGCTCAGCGAGAGGAGTACCGCGGAGTCGACGGGGAGCCTGCCTGCCGCATGTGGACCGCGTCTGAACCGCGGTAAGTTCAAACTAAGGTATGTCGAATTCAGCTACGTTATTAACGTAGCTGAATTTGCGTACCTTAGTTCGAATTGGGGGGTTAGTGTGGACCAGGCCTAAGACTGTAAGTGTCATCAGTGGAGGGATTAAAAACTCTTGCACACACATCCCGAAACAGCGTGCATCATTTCATCTCTCCTTTTGTCAAAAGTTATTTTGGGAAACTTTGAACTTGGGGAAATCTCTGGAATGCTTCAAATGCGGGATCTCTTCTGGAGATGCTCTGGCTCCAGTGAAACTGGAGCAGAAGAGCCATACTACCCTGTTTATGAGGCTGCAGCATAAGAGAAACATTCTAGAAATTTTCCTGTGTAATTTCCTTTAAGAAACATGCTCCTAATGTTCCAGGTGCCTTTGCCCATGGCAGAATGCTTTGTCTTTGTAGTGAAAGTTTATCTGGTCAATGTACTAGCATACTATTCTGACTAGCATTTCTCATCTATACCCTCCTAGAAAGCATAGTTAATAAATACATTCCCATTTCACTGCTTCAAGCCAAGGTGGATAAAAATAGATTAAACTGAGTTATTTAAATAAATACATTTATTTAAAAATAAAATCAACCTATTAAAATTAGACAACCTACATTAAGGCCTAAATTTACTCTAATCTATTTAAATAAAAAAATTCAAGCTGTACATGTTTTCTGCCAAAATTTTAAAAAAGGCAGCACTGAACTGCTGGAAGGTCACTGGCTAAGCAGCTGGAACCAGAGTTTGTTGAAGTGCTAAACCGCTTTGTGTCAGTATTAACCTCTTTGACAGCAACAGACAATATTTTCTTCATTTCAGTTTATTCAACTAAGTTAGTTCAATGACTAGTTCTTTCAAAGTTAAGAAACCAATGGGGAATTGAAAAAGCTGGAAGGCTTTTTTCCTCTTCCAATCAATGACTAAAAACTAGGTGTGAGAGCATAAGATCTACTAGTTCTAAAATCCTGAAAGACTTGATGACCAGAAACAATCACTTCAGTTCACAAACTACATATAATACTTCCTTTGTTTAATAAATTAGTTGGTTTTAAATGCAAAATATGTTTTGATAACCCCCCTCTCCTTCCCCCCCCCCCCCCCGCCAGCACATTTGAGGTAGTTTTATTTAATTTTAAAAAACCAGTTTCTGCACATTTATTAAATTCCAATTTCCATCCAAATAGAGCTTGACACTAATCACAAGTTAAAAAATATCTAGTAAATAAGTATCATTCAGAATTTTAACATAATAAAAAAGTGAAAATTAAGAATCTGAATAAATGTATGTTAAGCTATATGACTGCTTAAATAAATGTGTGTAGATACAATGTATTGTCCTGGTAAGCAAAAAGAAATACCAAATTTAGTGTAAAGACTATATTTAGTTGCAAGTCAACATGTTTTAATGGTTACCAATCAGTGAGAATCAACTTTTCTTTAGGAAGATAATCTTGTTTTGCCTTTGTATTTTTTAGTTCAAATTCATTTAAATCAAGGCTTCCTGCTTGCCGATTTAAACCATGATTATAATTGAGTGATTTAAATTGGTCTGATTTTTAAATCAATCCACTCTGCTTCAAGCACCAGGAGAGGAGGTTTCTTCCTTTAAGAAGTTTATTCTTTAACAAGATTTCTTAGTACATAAAGGGATTTCAGTGATTTTCTGGGGCATAACCATCTTTCCTCAACAGGTTAATCTGTCACTGTTAAGTCAGCAGCACTGTTTTAGTGGGAAACTGATTTCACTCATTGGAGGGGGGAGGACTTGTTGGCTCTCCTGGGATACCAAGGTTCTAGGATGGTGACACTTCTGATGGGGCACATTCTGTCCCCATTGAGGTTGATAGTCAAACTCCCATTTACTTCACTGCCACCATACCTTGGCTCGGAGTTTGTCTTGGAGAAATGTAGCTTGATGGGATTGGCCAAACAAAAGCAAGGCAGTATACTACACATGACATTTCTCCGCTTGTCCGTATAACTTTTGAACACTGCATGGGATCAATTCCAAGATTTCAGAGAGTGGTGCGGAATGAAGGATGCAAGGAGCTCCTGATCCATGCAGTGAGCTTGATCTACAATTAGGGTTGCTAGTTTTGGTTGGATGGATTTCTGGAGATATCACATGACAATCTTTAATTAAAGATTAATCTTTAATTTCTGGATACCCCAGGACAATCCTGGAGGGCTGGGAACCCCACCTACACCAGCAGTAAAGAGGGCCAGCCTCTAGTGTTACTGGCTGAGCAAAGTGAGATCCTACATTCAACATGATGGCATTTCTCTGTTGGGCTGGAACATGATCACTTTTGAACACCACCTCCAATCAATTTCAGAATGTCAGGGAATGCACTTGGATCTGGTTAGTGCAGACATCAGCTTGTGGGAGGACTAGTCAGGTGTGTGAAATGAACTTGGCCCGCAGAAGCAACAAAGCATGTGACCTCTAGCGATTAGATACAAGTCAAACTTGGAACGAAGGCATATGAACTTTCTCATGGTGCCAGTCTAGCCCCTTCAAAACTTGACTCCCCCTTCTGTTCGGTAAGTCGCATGAATGAGCTAACTAGCAGACCATAGCAATTAGCACACAGAGATGGAATCTAGCATCCCTGAGAGTTAACATTCACAGCCAGTAAGAAACAGTCTCTGCTCCTCTTGAGTTTCTCACTGTGTGTACAGCAAAGGGGTTTTTTTTAATTGCCTCCAGCACAACAACTTGAGAAGCCTAAGATGCTTTCTCACTGTTAGTGAACTGAAGATGCTCATACCTGAGTGGGACGTCCACACTGTTCCTCCTTTAGTTGGAGGTGTATGTACAGTTGAAAGTGTTTTTAAATGGGCATGCTCATGAGCACCTCATATGGAGCCTCTGGAAAATGTGCTTTCATGGCTTAATAGATACTCATCCAGCACACCATGGCAGACCCCTTTTAGGATGTAGCTACATTACTTAAATAGAATGTGGTGTTATGCATGGTTAAGTGACTGAGCTCAGTGCTCGAACACAGTTTGGGCCCTGTATAAATAGCATGTTGCCAAGATTAATACATTGATTACCTGTGGATATGTTTTGGAGAAGAAAAACAACATTCTGAGGTCCAGACCTGCTCTAGCCAGTCCTGGATCAGTGACAAGAACATTGCTAGGCTGAGGGATGTGTGAGTTTCAAAGACCAATATTTCAGACTAATCAGGACTGGAAACAAGTACTTATATACTTAAATCTCTCTGCAGTGGCATCTACAGTTAGTTCCACCCATGGCCAGTTACCAAGTGTCTGATCTCAGAATCCATTCACTCTATTACCACTTTACTTTTCCCTTCCCAGTTGAATTTGTCTGATTTTTTTTTTTAAAGCAACTACTGTTTTATGCCACTAGAAGCCATTGCTTTATAGTAGATGAAAGCAAATTGGAATAGCTGATTCCAATCGGTGTGAAGCCTTAATCTCCAATTCTTACAATCTATCAGCAACTGGCAGGTAAAAATGGTGCAAGTGAAATGCAGGAAGGTGGGAAAGCAAGGTGAGCAGAAAGAGAGGATTTGAAAGGTCCGATATCTCTCACTGTCAGGGCTAGCCATTTTGGCCAGCCAGTGGAGAGGCTTTCAGGACATTACATTTTTCCAGGTGCAGCCCCTAGCCTGGTGAGTGAAACAATGGCAATATCTGATCTGTTTTTTATTTTTTTCTAGGTTTATTTACCAGGGACCTACAATCTCCATTACTTACATGCACAGAGGGAAGAAGATGGTATTGAAGATCACCTGACAACAGGATCTCTGGCAATGGGAAGGTTTCTGTCTGTTTTGGGTTTTTTGGTCACGTGAGATTTCAGAAGAACAGAATCTTTGCAGCCCAGTTGGTTACAAGACTATTGAATGAGGTCAAGAAGAACAGGTTTCTCTTCCCCCACATCCCCACCCCTTTCCCCCACCGTTTCAGCCTTGTTATTCAACTAGAATGCTACAGGTTCTTCTGGGAAAGACTTGTGTCTTTTTACCAACACTGATTGGAATGAGAATCTCTGCAAAGCATTCCCTCAGCTGCTGACGAGTACCAAGGCTCAAAGTCCGGATGTGCCCAAGTTTGTTTTTTAAAGTTAATATTCTTTATCTAGGGGAGAGGAGCTCCCTGGGCTTGCTCTGTAGTTTGGAGATTGTAGAAAAAGTAAAGTCTTTGAAGCCCCATGTTGGAAACAAACAGTCATGTGGCTCAGAACCTGATGGCTCCTTAACAGGCAGGTGATGCCCAGGCTATAAAGTAAGTGACATTAGAGTAGGGTAGCAAAAATAACGAGATGGAAGAGAAATTGATTAGGCAAGATCGGTGCTGTAGTGGAAAGAGCCTTGTCGTCCCCCCACCCAAATAAAAAAAGTCAGCTGTGGAATTTGGCAACTGAGAGCCCAATTCTGTAATGGGCCTGTGGAGTGGATGGGACAGATTTTTCAGGTGACCAACTGAACTGTAGGGTGGATGTATATGACAAAAGCAGAAAGTAGCTGAAAAAAAAGATCTGAAGTCACTTGTGCCAAGCTTCAGCTGTGAAGGACTTGGCAGTATTGGAGGTAGGGGGGCCAGACCGCTAGTCACTCACTGTATGGTTTCAAGGCTCCTGCAGAAGCCTGTTTGCCCTTTGTGCGATAACTGTGGTCTCCAAAGGGCAAAGAGCATGCTGGTCAGGCTTGGGCACTTAAAGTTACGCATCAGTGGGATGTAGGGGTAAGGAGGTGGGAATCTCAAGCTGACCAGTTAATACTTAGTTTCCTGGCCTGCATTTGGAGCCGCACTGACATTCTGGGACTGACTCTGTGTGATGGTTTGAGTAGCGCTTTAGACCTTGCTCAGTGTAAAGCACAGCATCCTTTTTACCCTGTGATTTCTTAAACACGCTAGAAATGTCTTCCCAAACCGTTACAAACCCCTGCTGAGAGACGGGTCCAGGAGACACCAGTTGTGCTTCCAGACTAAATCTCTCACCCGGTTACCGAAGTATTCCACTGTCGCTCTGGTAGGATGTGACTGGCTTCACAATTAGAGAAGGGCCCTGCTGACCTAATCAGACAGGATCGTCACAGTACTAACAGGCCTGCTGTCTGTGCAGACACTTCAGTCTTATTTCTCTTCGTTGACATTTTTGTGCACCCGCTTGCTACTTGTCTGTCTACTCGGTATGCTGTACCATCCCATAAAAGTGAATGAGGATGCAATAACTCCATTAGGGCTAGATTAAGGATGGTGTCTAGTTTTGTTTTTTTAAACCTGTAAGCCTTGACACCTCTGCCGAGCTTGAATGCAGTGACCAGAGAAGATTTGGGTGGCACCTTACCAGGAAGGTTGTGCTGTGCATTAGGGGACTAGCAGAGCAGTAGCATATAGTTGTAGTTATGTGCTCCCCCCACCTGATTAAACACCTTGTGTTTTGAAGGTTTCACACAGAGACAGTAACCAGCATAGCACAAGCCCAGGAATAGGACCCAGTCGCTCTTTCCTGCAACCCCCCCCCCGCGAGATGCTTCTCTGTGCTGTGGATGGCCACAGCCAGACCTGGAATACCCTCACTTCTTCCCAAGATGGTTATTTGGGGTTAGGACGTTTGGGTTTGGTTATCAACCACAGAGAACTGTCTGGCTTTGTAACTCGTCTGTTCAGTTTGGTTAGTCTACGTTTGATTCCCAGCTTAGCAGGGGGCTGTTGTAGCAGCATCTAAGATACCCCACCCCCTCTGGAGTAACGAAGGGGTGGATTTTCTCACTACTGGAAGCCCCTCATCCATCACATGGTGCACTGAAACATAACACAGGCTTACGTGCTGTTCTGCCCATTGTTTGTCCATCCCCCTTGCTGTTTTCCTGACCCATGTTCTTTCGAAGCACCCCAATACTCCTGCACTCTTGTTCACAATAGAACTGGTCTTCCATGTGACTGTCTACATCAGGCGACCAGCTGCTTCCTGCAGGCAGAGGCTCTTTCCCCCAAGTCCAAGACTGTATTAACTACACCTGTCTTAGGATGAGCGTCTCAAGCTTGTATTTCAACGCTCGCTTGGGGCACTTAACCCATGCTAGCTGTGCATGGATGGGACAACTGACAGCAGACGCCAGGCTCTAAGAGCAGGGCTCCTCAGTACAGCCTTTGCAACTGTTGGCTGCTATAGCTACATCCATGGCTAGAACTGACCTGCCCACACATGCCTTCCCTGCCAGGAGGAAGCCCAAGGGAGATGTTATGGCACCAAAGGCAACTTCCAGGCAGACTCCTAGGAGAGCTGCTTTGACTTAGATGGTGCTTGTCTCAGAACTTTCCATTTAACCTGCTTACCACCTCCAGTGAGATTTAAGCCATCGCCCACCAGAGGCTTCCAGTTCTGCTACTCCCTCCGAGGCTGTGCGCTCTCTCCAGCACCGCTGTATGGGTGGGGAGGCCGATTTCAAACAGAGGGAGTGCCACTTGCTTCAAGTCCTCACCTGCAGAGGAGGTACTAACGAATCCTTTTCGTTAGATATCCATGAGTGCCCCCTTCCCCTCTCTGGAAACTTCAGTGAAGACCTGACTACGCCCCGACTGAAATGCACTGCTGGCAGAGCGTGTGGCTAACCGCCTGGTTAGTGTAAAGTCACCCTCTCAGCCCTGCCCTGACTTCCACCCACCTTCAGATCTCACATTTCCACTTCAGCTTTTGCATTACAGATGTGTTTTAAAACCAGCTTGATGTTAGCTAGATAGACCGTAGTGCCTTATAGGCTTTAGAAAACACTTCCTAGGAAGAGTTCTAGGGCTGCTAGCCTTTGGCCAGTTGGGTCATTTCTCCTTTAGTTTCTGTCAGTCTAAATACGCTTCTCTCCTTTGCTTTCCTGCCGACGGCGGCTTTGCTGCAGAGTGCTCCAAGTTCACTAGAATAGTGAGGAAGTCATACAGTTTACAGGTAGTGGTGTCTCACCACACCTCACCTCTGAATCCTCTGGGCCCTGCCCAAACTCATCCTAGGGCAAGAGCATCGAAAGAGGGATTGGCTCTAACCTGCAGCTTTTACAAGGACATAAAGCTTTCTGGGGAGGGGCATCTCTTTCCTCTTGCTTGACATCATCTGTCTGCCCAGCTCCTCCACCTTGCTGCTGCTGGCTGAAACGTCTCCCCCATCGTATACATTTTTGGCATTGGGCTTTGCAGCTGGGGAAATTCCAGCTTCTGGGAAAAGGGGAGCTAAACCCGAGGCTCAGGACTGCCTGGTCTCTGCAGCTCATATTCATACAGGAGTGGCTCCTGATTTCTGACTGACCACGCTTGATACTGAACTTAAAAACTGACACTGGAGGGACAACTCTAGCTGTTATGAGGTCTAACCCTAACCAGAGTGGGGAGAGTTGAGGGCTCCTACCAAGGAAGTTCCACTGATTTTCAGGCTCGCTCTCACAGGCCAGGTTTTTGCTAGAACAGATGACATGGCCCTGTCCATGTTATAGGATTGTATTAAAAATTGTTTACTTCTAAATATCCTGTTTACAGTGGGGGTGAGGGGAACTAGCCACGTTCCTGGAGAACTTTGAAATGCGTTAGCTACACCAACCTGCAATGGAGGTCTGCACCTCCAGCATCACACCAACCCGGGGTTGGCTGTAATACCACAGCTGTATTCCGTAAGATGGGCTCAATAGGCTGGTTAGAGAAGGAGTCAGACTAGCTTCCCCGGTGTTCTCCTGCTGCTGTGTTTAAGGTTCAGAGGGGCTGGTGACAGCTAGACAGTGGTCCCCCTTTAGTCTTCCTTTACTCCTCAGGATCCAGCTCCGTAACATATCAGGAGGCTCCCAGAGCCTGTGTGGAGCAATAAGAGACTTTAACGAAAGTTACCATCTTTGTGGAATTCCTCATTTGTGTAAATCTTCTCCATATGCAGGATCTACTCTGGGTTTAAGCCTGCCCAGGGACATGGTGCAGCTGCAAAGAGAACAGCCAGCTGCAATGGAGGCAAAAAAATCCAAATATACTAAGTTTAATGTACAAAGGCCATGATAGTGGGGAACACATTGCTGCTTTGTGTGGTTTCCTCCTCTAAAACACACTGCCAAAGCATGTTAGGCAAAACCCTTCCCAGGGGCTACTGGTGTTACTGTTGCTTTAAAGCCAGTCTCCCTTTCCCTCTGGAGTTGGGGTGGTGCCCTTCAGAGACTTTTCTCTAGAAGACCAATCAAGCACTTACCCCATTCTTCAGCATCCACCCCTACATCATCCTCTGTAGCTGGATCTAGACCATGCTGCTCAAATTCCCCTCAAGCTGTGTACTGCATATTGCATTGTAGCCAACCAACTTTTTTGGAGACACTGGTCTTTTTATTGAAGCACTTCAGATTTGCGGCTTGGCTGCCGTCCCCTGGAGCCGGACCTTGTGTTTCTTCTGATGCTTGGCAACACTATTTTGTGTGGCTGAACAAAGCGAATGACTTGGCATTCAGATTTATCCATTCCTTCCATGTTGCAAGCAATACATCAGCGGCTGGCTCCTCTGGCCACAGTTCCTGGAAATCATTGCATAGGCGGTTCTGTTCTCTACACTACAGTGCTAGCTATTGCCTATGGAAACTGGGGCCTGCTTACCGTGTGCTGCCCATTTCCACTGTAAACATTGAACTGCAGTGTGAAATGACGGCCTGCCACTTTCCTGAAACAACCAGTGACAAAGCAGTTACACCATTCTGGTCTAAAAGCATTTTCACACTTTTTGGAGTCAGAGGGGGAGGGGAGGCAGGGTGAACAGCACAGTAGGAAGTGGCCTCTTCTAACTGCAAGGTGACAAATTCCATCTTCCTGCACTTTGCCATCTCAATGCTTTTAACTCTAAGGTGTGGCTCCCAGAGGGATTGGTGGTTGGATATTTAATGCATCTTCTCTCCTGAACTAGGCAGAGTGGGAAGGCTTAAACCCAGACTCCAAACTAAAGTTACTTCATGATACTAGTTAATAAATCTGTATTTTTCTTTTTTGCACAGAAGCTGGTAATCTAGGACCTATGTGTGAACTTTATATAAATATTTTTTGTACTTGGTTTACTTGGGTTGGTATGAGACGTATTTAAGTTCCTTGAACACTGTGGATACCCTGATGTGTATGAATGGCAGAGGCGTTGTAAATTAAGAGACGTTTGTGTGAATAAAGCTATTTGATGGGGTTGAAAAGCCATACTCAATTTGAAACGTGAGTTTTGTTTCTTTGTTTTCAGCCTTCCAGCTGCAATATATTGTTAAGAGAAGGGAGTCCTTGGAACAGCAGCACACACCCTGGTCTCAAAGAACAGCAGAGGCTGGGTCAGGATTGTTCTTGGACTTCCTCTTAGGGAGTCTTCCAGCATCAAGCTCCAGCAGAGAAATGGGCAAGGAGTTCTTAAGACATGAAAGTAGCATCTCCCAGAGCTGTGAAGTGAAAGAACCGGCAGCTCCTCTCTCCAGAGAAGGGGGGGGGGGGTTTGAGCTATCAGTCCTCATGGCATTCAGAAAGAGAGGGAAAGACAGGAGCAAGGCTACCCTTCTGCCTCTGTCCTATTACAGCCACCTGTGCCATTGCGATTTCCAAGGTCTTACAGCCAGGAGGGACAAGAGCGTACAATATAGTGCTAATGTGAAAGCAAGCCAGGAAAAGGGTTTTCCATTGTAAGGATCAAAAGGTGCAACCTGCAAATCAAAGAAACCCTAACCAAGGTGATGAGCACAGCCCATGCTCCTGCGGGCTGCAGCTAGAGCTCTGGCTGAAACAGAAGCCTTGATCTTGGCAGTTTATTTCTGTTTCACTTCTTCCAAGAGAGGGTCTCCTGCTCTGGGCCTTGAGGAGGAGGCTGAAAGGCAGGGCCTTAAATTCTATTGCATCATTGGAAACGTTGGCAGACTGGGGTCAAGCTGCAGAGGGCAGGCAGAGCGTGAATGGGGCTGCAGCTAATGGTGCCGTGTTAACAACTAAAGAAACTCAGAGGCTAAAATGGCTTGAGGTTGCGCTTGTTTAAAAGTTCACCTACTCCCCCATTGCAGAGGGCATTGGGTTAAGCTAGCCACGACTTCTCACCCTGAGAGAGGCTTCAGGGCTTGTCTAACCTTCCTTTGGGAAAGGACTCCTCAGGCTGGGGCCATAAAGAGAACATCGCTTCTGCTGAGCACACTCTTGACCCCCAAGAGCAGCTCTGGGAGCGCTGACCTAAGCTGGTTTTATGTCAGGGATGCCCCTTACAGTAGAGGTGAAGAGCTGGACTCACACCTGCTTAAGGACATTCTGAAATAGGCTCTGCTGCTCCAGAGAGGTCCCATCTCTTACACAGACGGGCAGCAAAGGAGAACACGAACACAGGAGAGGGCACGTTCCTCTCCTCAGAGCTACTTCAGGAAGCCAGTTTGCAGAGAAGCCCTTCCCGCTCCAAGTGCGGCTAGACATCCTGGGCCAGCAGCATGGTGTCCCTACCGCAATGGAGAGATCACAGGCGGAGGATGCTCTCAAAGGTTACACCAAAAACAGAACCTGAAGAAAATTCTCTTCACAGCTTAGTATCAGTCTGACAAGGTTGGAGGGGAAGTGGCCTGCCCCTGCGGTGGAATGATTTGATCTAATCACTGGGCGGGGGGGGAGAAAGACTATCATTTGTAACCTAACCCAGAGGATTCACAGCGGGGAGGAGTTTGATGCATCTTTTTGCGGTACTTGTTCTCTACCCGCTCTGAAGCCACCCTCCCCCTACGCTGTGTCCAGGAGCAATCAAAGTTCTGCTTCAGCTGCAGGGAAGTCAACATAAGTGGCTTCTTCTCATCCTGCCCACCCCTGTCCATGGGTGAATGGGACTAGCTAAAATGTAAATAGGACAGCTTGGAACTGGGCCCAAGTCATCAGCCTGCACCTTGCATCATTGTTTACAACACACTGCATGATGATCCAGGAGCGGTTCCCATCTCTGTGCTGCTGCAAGCACATACACAAGGTTCAGGGAAATTAGGGAGTAAGTACCATGGGCCCTCTGAGCTAGAGAACCTTCAGCAAACTCTGTAGCATGACCCTAGGCAGACAGGCCCGGGGGGGGGGGGGCACTTTTCGGAAACAAGTGCAGACCGCTACCTGCCAAAGGCAGAGGGGGCAAGTTGGCCTATGTCACAGAACTCCGCCTTCGACAGAGGGAGCTTAAAAGGCCGGTATCCTAGGAGATGCTGAACGCCCTCAACTCCCACTGAGCCTGCTGCTGCAGAGAAGAGAGCTCATTTCTTTCATTCCTGGAGCAGTGAACTCGTATGCAAGAGGCCCAGCGGCTCCTCTGCTGGCGTTGTAAAATGGATGCCACCAAGGCTGGTTAGACCCAGCTGTGAGTGTTCTGAGGGTATGTCTACACTACCTCCTGGATTGGTGGGCAGCCATCGATCCATTGCGTCTAGTCTAGACGAGATAATCGACCCCCGAGCGCTCTTCCGTCGACTCCTGTACTCCACCGCTGCTAGAGGCGCAGGCGGAGTCGACGGGGGAGCGGCAGCAGTCGACTCAGCACAGTGAAGACACCACGGTGAGTAGGTCTAAGTACGTCGACTTCAGCTACGTTATTCATGTGGCTGAAGTTGTGTAACTTAGATTGATCCCCCCCATGGGGTAGACCAGGCCTGATAGCGTGTGGAGAAAGACAGTGTAATGGTTCAGTGCGTTTGGTTTCCTCTGCTGCTCCCAGATCAAGGTCAGCACAAAACCAGACCCTTTTACACTTATTCTAAAATAAAAGCACAGCAATAGATGTGAGTAGCACCAAAGTGACTGGGCGGGGGGGTGATTCACATTTAAATTCTGAAAGCGGTCTTGACTGTTCTATTAATAATCTCAAGTTTACTGATCACCTTTAAACTTGAATGAGCCCCAAGCACTTCACAAACCATATGGCAATGGCTTAAATAAAAAAGCGCAGTCACTTCCAGGGTGGATGTTTAACACACAGCAACGGTTCAGGACAGGAAGAGAGGATTGCTGCAGCCACTCGAAACTGGAGAGGGGAGGGGGAGAAAGGAGAAGTGTTAGGTGGGCAGATATTTGGACAAGGCACAGCTTGATATGCCTAGTCTCAGATCCTTCAACTATTGCTGTGATTTAACTTGAGCTCAGATTTGAGAAAAGAAACATCATGGCAGGTTGGGAAAACTTTTTCTAGAAGACCTGTGCTACCCAAGAGGAAAGCCAAGCAATACGCCAAGTCTTCTGAAGTGTTGTTAGACTCCCATATAAAGGCACAGTTGTCTAGTTGATGCTTTTTCCCCACCCCTGCTTACTCAGACGTTGAGGCTCAGGGCAATACAGACAGTCCTTCCTCCAGCTTTCGGGATTCCAGCACCCCACCCTGTCTTGGAGGGATCTGGTCTCCCATCCTGACAGAGAGAAATCACTGCCCTAGCATAAGTCCATTTCTTTCCCTGTGTTGTGTAACCTGGATGGAGTTTTAGAGCTGTCACGCCCAGCCTGTTACCAGAGTTTGGCAAGATCCTGCCCTTTTGGGGATAGGAGGTTAAATCATCAATTGAAATATGTTAGACTGAGTGCACGTGTGTGCCCACGCCCACAGCCAGGACCTTATATAATATGTCAGACCTGGTACTTTACCATTTAGCATACTTTTAGAGAGCTGTTTCTTTAACAGCTCAGTTTTTTCAGCACTTGTCATCCTGAAAGCTCACAAAGCACAAACTGCGCCTAGTACATACAGCACCACAGTTATGCGGCCAGCTCTGGGGTGGAAGACCACAATCTGTATGCAGCATAGTAGCCGATTAGTCAAAACATCTGCTGGCTGCTCCCTGCAGCCCCAGGGCATTCTGGCCTTAGCTCAGCTTGTTTTTGTGCTTCACATTTCACCTGTTATTGAAATACGCTCAGTCTTGTGTTTTCTGGCCCCCATAAATCGCTTTTACCCTTAAGCCAGAGCCAGCATCATGCTTTCATTTTTTAATTAAAGTTTTAGATAACGGCTCTTGCTTTGGCCATGTGGCTCTTTAAGGACAGAAGGATAATGGACTGAATCAAGTAAATATTGGGGAAGGGGAAGGATTCTGATTAAAGAGGACAAAGCTGGTAACCACTGCTCACATGAGCCATCCCAGCCCAGGTTCATGCGAGAATCAGACCCTGAGATTTCAATACAGTGATTTGAATACCGTGACCAGGTCAGCGTCTCTATCTTCAGACCCCCTTAGAACTCTACCACCTTGCAGATCCCTCATCGTAGCATCGAGCTAACATTACTGGGTGTTCCACTTCGAGAAATGCCCAGGCTAGACCAGCCACCACATGCAGGAGGCCATGGCTGTTAGAGTCTTACCCCGCAGCCCCCAGGAGTCAGTGCAGTTGCCAGGGCAGGATGAAAGGCTGTGTCAGCTCAGCTGGGAACTCTGCAGTCCCAGAAAGTCCAGGTGGACTGAGGCTTACACACAAAGCCAACGCACTCAGGCCAGTGACTCCCTGTAATGCTTTTTCCTGGCACACTCCATCACCTAGGGCATCAGGATAAAACTGCTGAGGTTATGAGCAGCTTTGTTCTCTCCACACCAGGTACAATACAGGCCAAGGCACGGAGCATCCCAGCCATTCAACAAGGAGCTCAGGGTACATTTCCCTGGAGCCGGGGGGCCTGTGGAGGTGAGGGGGGAGATCCTGCAGTGGTGTGATGCTCTCCAAGAGGTGCCTCTGCTTTCCCTCCCCCTCCCACAATCTACTGTTCATTAATAAGAGGGGGGTGAGTGGTTTTCTGTGCAGCCCCAGGAAAGCAGTAGGCTCAAAGCCACAACAATGCACCCACCCAAACAGTTACGGCTTCAATAGCTACAAAACAGATGGTTTACTCTGCAGAATCCCTCTGCTCCCTCCCCTGCAGTCAGACACATGGGCCAGGAGAACTTAAGCCTGGAATAGAAGCAAGCGAAAGACAACCAGACACCCCACTCCCATGCATGGTGGGCACAGCCAAACCTGGGCATTGATCATATTGCCAGTGCCAGCACTTGCACTATCACAGTTTCCTCTGGGAAGTGCTGGCTCCCGACAGCTTCATGAGTTCTAGCACAAGACCACAGTTCAATCCAGAAGCACCCCTCCTTCCATGCAGCCAGATTGGCCCTGCATTCATGGCAGGCCCAGAGCCGCAATGCTTCTCCCTGCACTAGGGGAGGGACTGGTCC